AAGAAGATTAGGTATATAGAGCAAAGAGGAATAGGGGTGGCATTATTGCCACGGTTTGGCAGAGGAGAGCTCGGGCGACTACTTGTCCCAAACCCGTCGACAAGATTCATAGTATTCATAGTAGTAGAATAAATCTAATCTTATCTTAAATTACTACTACTTTTTTTCTAAATATTTAACGCCGTTAATTTTTTTAAATATGTTTGACCGTTCGTCTTATTAAAAATTGAAGTAATTATTAATTCTTTTTCTATCATTTGATTCATTGTTAAATATACTTGTATGTATACATATAGTTTTACATATTTCACAAAATAAGACGAACGGTCAAACATCTGTTAAAAAGTCAACGGTATCAAATATTCAGTGGGTGTTTGGGAGAGAGAGACTAAACTCCAAAAAAAAAAGTCCTAGGGAGAGAAGGACTTCTCTCAAAAAAAAAAAGTCCAGAGGGACTAAAGCCCAAACACCCCCTAAATATTTGATGGAGATGGTAAATGGTAGCTTATCATGATTGTTAAGAAGAAGGCAAAATTGGTTCTGTGGCACTCAAAGTTTTCGTTTTTGGTTTTATAGCGCCGAAAGTTCACCGTTTGGTTTAATAGCACCCAAATCTTTCCTCCATTCCTGTTTAGAGATTTTCCGTCGCACTCGCTCTCTCCCGTTTACCGTTTTCTTTCACCGTGGTAGAGTGCGATGGCTGTGAGAATGGACATCTTGCCCTTATGTGATTACGGGATTGATTTTCTATCTCCCACGAAACGATCTAACCAGACTCTGTCATCCCTGGCCTCGGCCGTTCTCGCTATTCCTGCCACACACACAGCGGCGGCGGGTAGCCTCGCCGCATCCATCTCCTCGCCTTCCTTCTCCTGCAGACATCCCCATTGGCCGTCGCCTCAATTGCTCGTGGTCATATCTGTTAGAAACCAGCAACATTAGTCTTCTCGGCCCCGGCGTGGCCCCGTCTGCCGCCGCCGCCGCCGCTGCCGCTGTCGAAAGCGACAACGCCCCATCCGTCTGGCTACTGGTCTCCTCATCGCCCCCGGCATCCTCCCACTACCGGCGATGACCCGTTGCCTGGTTCACCCATAACTGATGGCTCCACGTCACTTGGCAGGGGCCTCTTCTCTTCTCCTGCTTGCTGCCTCATCGATCCCCAATCAACTTCAGGGATTGTAATTTCAGCGAACTAATGCAACTATGTTTATTGATTTTTGATAGCTTCAGTAAAATAATGTAAGTGAGTTTCTTTTCTAGTGCGTACAGATGAACTCATGGTTCAGTACACTGATACAAGTTACTTTCTATTTCAGTGAATTGATGCAAGTTAATGGCCCGTGTGGGTTCATGTGGGAGACAGAAAGAGCATCACAGACCTTAGCTATCAGAGTTTTAGGGCATGTTTGGAGGAGTTTTAAATTCTGAGAAGTAGCTGTTTGGTAGCCAGCTTCTGAGAATTTGGAAAAGCTCTGAAACCTAGCTTCTCCAGCTTCTGTCTTCTTAGTTTATTTTTCAGAATCTGTAACTACAGATTCTCAGAAGCTGTGGACTGTTTAGGGCAGCTTCTAGCGGAAGCAACTTTTGGGAAAAGCTGCAGTTGGGACAAGCTCCCCCAAACAAAGCCTTATCTTTGTGTGAGTTGATCGCAGGAATGTAAGTCCACAATCGGGGAGAGAGAGGTCGTCGCCACAAAGGACGGACGACGGGATGATTCCTGGTTCGATCGTTTCGTCGTGAGATCAAAACAAATCCCGTAATCAAATAAGGGCAATATGGTCCATTCGCTCAGCCATGGCACTCGATCACGGTGAAAGAAAACGGAAAACGGGAGAGAGAGATGAAAAATCTCTAAACAAGAACGGAGGAAAGATTTGGATGCTATTAAACCAAACAGAGAACTTTCGGTGTTATAAAACAAAAAAACGAAAACTTTAAGTGTTGTAGAACCAATTTTGCCTAAGAAGAAATATATAATCTCACGTACTTACATTTACCTGCCATTACGAATACCCAAGTGTGAAATTCACCAGTGCACAGTACAATAGTTACGCTGACGCAGAGCAATAATAACCACTCCTTGGCCTTACCAATTACTGTCACGGACTCACCGGGCAATGCACAGGAAAGCAAAGAATGGACGGCAGCGCTGAGTCGTCGAGTACCAGCAATCGGGCAATCAATTCTGTTCATCCCCACCACCGCCGTCACGGCCTCACAAAAAGTACTAACCCTACACCAATGTTAATTCAATTTGGGAAATTAAGTAATATTACAAACTAGTTAAACTTTGTTAAGTTCGATCAGGTTTATATAAAATATTAAATTAGTTTTACTAAATTTAATATTAAATATATATTTTGATAATATATTTTAAATTAAAAATGCTACTGTATTTTTTTTAAAATGATCAAACTTAAATAAATTTTACTAGAAAAAAGTCAAATAACTTATGATATGAAACGGGGGAGTATTACAATCTCTTCTAGTTAAAATTCAATTCAAACAATAATCAGTTGTATTTCCTCCGGATGTTTCGTTTTGTTCTAAATCAAACGATTTTAAATAAATTCATAGAAAAATAATTAACATCAATACACCAAATGAATACACTGCCAAACTATGTTTGATGATAATGAAACTAATAATATGTCATAGATCATGGTATATTTTCATATAAACTTGTCAAAAGTAAAGTGATTCATTTAGAAGAAAAAAACGAAACCACCTTACTACCATATTAAACAGATGGGGTACAAGAAAAAAATGAATGAAAAGCTATAATCCGCAAGCCACGTTCGTTATCACGCATAAAACAATTACGCATGATTAATTAAGTTTTACTTATTCTAAACTTAAAATAATTTTATCTGATATTATAAAGCAACTTCTACATTTTTATAAGATAATGAAATGAAACATCCCGGCCTTTGCTCAGGAGAGTTACAGCTAATTATTACAAAAGTAGCACACTAAAAGAGTGTAATCCAAAATAAAGTAAGCACACCAACCAAATTTAAAAGAAAACCGAACATGACAAGGAAAACATTATTCACATTATTCCAGTTTATTAGTGAATCTCCATCCATGGTTGGCAAAAAGATGCATAACCGTTGTCTCAAGCTTACGACATGCAACACTCAGGAATTCTCCATCTTCCTCACACTTTTGTACTTGAGCCCACAGCCAAAGCTAAAATGTTGCCCTGAAAATTACCTGCATATAGGAAATAGATGGGGATTTGTAAAAAATTCTATCATTCCTACACAACCACAGAGCCCAACATAAGGCAGAGGCACTAACAAGTATCAGTTTACTCTTTTCCTTGTCCACCCCCTGAAGCCAACCATCAAAAATATCATATATGCTTCTAGGAAAGAATAATCCAAAAGAAAACTGAACTGCTCTCCAAATAAACTTTGCATAATGACAATCCAAAAACAAATGTTGAGTAGTCTTATTTTTTTAATAAAAAACAACATATTAAACACCCATTCCAATTTCGTCTTGCTAGATTATCCTTGGTTAACACAACTCCCTTAAGCAAGTACCACATAAAGATCTTAATCTTAAGCGGCATCTTATGCTTCCAAATGAACTTATTTCTGTCAATGTAACCATTATTAATTAAAGCTAAGTACATTGATCAAACCGAAATCTGACCATTCTGATGATAATTCCATCTAAAACAATCAAAAACAATCAGAAGAATCATCCAACTGGATATGAGTAATAGAAGCACACAATTATACCAAATTGGTAGATTCTGTCCAACTAAATCTCTCTTAAAGAAAACATTAAGCGGAACAGAGCCCATAACACTAGCAACAGAAGCACTTTTCCTTCTGAAAATAGCATATAAAGATGGATACTTATATCTAAAGGCCAAGTTTTCTAGCCATTTACCCTCCCAAAATCTTATCTATTCTCCATCATTCACAATATAAGAAACCATACTTAAAAAGGTATTTTTTTGACTTTCATAAGCCCTGACGAAAAATGAGAATCACCTTATTTCCTATCCACTTGAGTTATAAACTTATTATAAATATACTCCCTCTTCAATAAGTCCTGCCAAACACCATTCTCATTAATTAACTTATATAACCACTTACTCAAAAAGATATTTATTTCGAATATCTAAATTATGAACACCCAAACCTCCCTGGTCTTTGGGCTATCTGGTTTTGGAGTTGACAAATTATATCTACATAAAATATACCGTTTAACAGATTGATAAACGTGCGAATAGAAACCGAAATAAAACCTATATAGTCAGAAACTAACGAAACCATAATAAGACCTGGAACAGCAAAAACAGAGACAACTCGTACGATGAACAATGAAAGCATAGTCGGTGAGATACTACGGGTCTGTATGGCATAACTCCAGCTCCACCCCTTCTAAGGCTGAAGCTCTGCCAAACAGTTTCAGCTCCACCAAAACTGGGAGTGAAGCTAGGTGAAGCTCTCTCACAAAATGAACTAGAGTTGTGGAGCTGAGTTACAGCTCCACAACTCTACTCCAGACCCTACTCCTGAAGCTAAATTTAGGAGTTGGAGCTGTAATAAATAGACCCTACCAATGTACTCCTATTATACGTGTATAGTACTCCCTCCGTCCCATAATATAAGAGATTTTGAGTTTTTGCCTACAATGTTTGGCCACTTGTCTTATTCAAAAAATTTATGTAAATATAAAAAGCGAAAAGTTGTGCTTAAAATACTTTAGATAATAAAGTAAATCATAAAAAAATAAATAATAATTATAATTTTTTTAATAAGACGAATGATCAAACAACGCAAGCAAAAACTTTATATTATGGGACGGATATTATGGCCTATGGGACGGAGGGAGCAGTACTCCAGTAGTCGAGTACAGTACCACAGTGAGGAGGCCCAGGAGAATCCGAGATTTGCGAGGGCTAATCGCGTCATTTCGGCGTTCAAAAAAATCCAAAACCCAAACAGTGGCAGCAGCTGCTGCTGCTCGCCGCCCGAGGCAGCGTCTCGCCATTAAAGCCACCGCTGCTGCTCTCGCTGCAGCACAGCCAGTGTGCGTGCGTGCGCGTGTGAGCGAGAAGGAGAGAGAGAGATGGTGGTGGTGGTGGCCATGCCGCCGGCGCTCTCCCTCCTCGTTCTCCTCGTTCTCGCGCTCCACGGAGGCGCCGGCGACGCCACGCCGCCGCCGCCGCTGCGGCTCGTCCGCGGCGCGCGGCGCGTGGCGTTCGACGAGGGGTACACGCGGATGTTCGGCGACGGCAACCTCGCCGTCCTCCGCGACGGCCGCCGCGTCCGCCTCACCCTCGACGAGTCCACCGGTGAGTGAGCCGCCCACCGCCGCCTCCCCACGGCCCGTCCATGCGATTTCTTCACAATCCGAGGACCGCATTGCACTTTTTAAATTACGTATCGGTCCTTCCCGCAAGCAGTGAGAGGGTGTTTATGTGATATCGCTAACTTGAGGGTGTTCTTGGCAAAACTGCCACTTCTTCCTCCTCGCGCTACGCAGGCGCCGGGTTCGCCTCCCAGGACGTCTTCCTCCACGGCTTCTTCAGCGCCGCCGTCAAGCTCCCCGCCTACTACGCCGCCGGCGTCGTCGTCGCCTTCTACGTACGCCGCCGCCGCCGCCGTCCTCTCTCGCACCTCCGAAAACAACAATGTGACAAGTGTTTGTGGCGTGTCGCTTGTGCAGCTGTCGAACGGCGACACGTACGAGAAGACCCACGACGAGGTGGACTTCGAGTTCCTCGGCAACGTGCGCGGGCGCGAGTGGCGCGTGCAGACGAACGTGTACGGCAATGGCAGCACCGCCGCCGGCAGGGAGGAGCGCTACGACCTCCCGTTCGACCCCACCGACGAGCTCCACCATTACTCCATCCTCTGGACTCGCCGCCGAATCATGTCAGCCATTTCAAAAACATTTCAAAGAAGAGTAGATTTGGGTTGGAATATTTTGAAAATTTTGAGGGGGGAATTTTTGTTAGATTCTACGTGGACGAGACGCCGATCAGGGAGGTGGTGAGGACGGCGGCGATGGGGGCGGCGTTCCCGGCGAAGCCGATGTCGGTGTACGCCACAATCTGGGACGGCTCGGCGTGGGCCACGCTCGGCGGGCGCTACAGGGTGAACTACAGGTACGCGCCGTTCGTCGCCGAGTTCGCCGACCTCGTCCTCCACGGCTGCGCCGTCGACCCGCTCGCCGTCGAACACTCCGCGTCGTGCGGGGACGAGGAGGAGGAGGCGGCCGAGGCCGTCGTGTCGTCCGCGGCGATGGCGGCGTTCCGGCGCGGCCACATGTCCTACTCCTACTGCCACGACCGGCGGAGGTACCCGGTCGCGCTGTCCGAGTGCGCGCTCACCGGCGGCGCAGCCTCCCTCGGCCGCCTGTTCGGCCCCGACGGGATGAAGCGCCGCCGCGCTCGCCGCGCCCGCGACGCCTCGTCGTAGCGCCGGCCGCGGGGGCGCTGTACAGTAAGCATCAGCAGTGGGAACGCGTCGAGGCGCCGCTCGCCGCTCGCCGCCGTGGCAGACAGGCGTACTCGCCGGCGTGATTGTGCGCGCGCCGTGGAATCCGGCCGGGATGTATGCCATTGTCACGGCTCGCCTTGTAACTTTAGCTATAGCATTAGGATTATTTGCCGCTTTGGACCATTCATCCGTGTGCTCCATTGATGAAACCAAGAAAACTCCATTTCTTATCTCAGGGAAAGGAACGGATTATTATCCATCAATTAATCAATTTCAGCTAATCAATCGATCAATTTGAGCCACGGAGTATTTGAAACGGGGTCTATTTGAGATCAGTTTGAGATAAGATCAGGGTTTAACTTTTTGTTTTGGAGGTAAAAACTGTTCCTTCCTGATTTACCGAAATCCGACCAAAAACCGGTAAAAACCGATAACTTTTCAGTCGATGACATAAGATAACTGGCTAAACCCGACCGATTTTTATCAACCGATATCTAGCGGTTTCACGAAACCGATTGGTTTTCACAAAATTATCAGTTTTGTGAACCCTGGAAAACATGATTCAGATAATCAATTTTTTTACTTTGCAAGTTTATTTGTCGCCAAGGGAATCAGGTTTGAGCTGGTCTTATTTTCTGATCAAGATATACTACTTTATCTCAACTTTTATTAGCACCTTTTCTAAACCTTTAAACGGTTTGTTTCATGTGAAAACAGTTGCTTTAAAATGTTAAATTATTTTTTAAGTTTATAATAATTAAAACTCAATTAGCCCTATGTTTTTTCTTTTTTGACGTGTGGTACCTCCAAATTTCACTCACTAATCTCTCTAACCCATAAGGCCCCTTTGAATTGTAGGATTGAGGAATTTTGATAGGATTGTAAGTGTAAAACAGAGAATTTTGATAGGATTGTAAGTGTAAAACAGAGGATTGCAAAATGCAGGAAAACACAGGAATGGCCGTTTGATTGAACCCCAGGAAAAATGCAAGAATTGTATGAGAGAAATAGACTCAAAGGAAAGTTACCAAGATGTTGAGGGCCCCTTTGATAGGATTTATGTAGGAATTTATGTAGGAATTTCATAGGATTCAAATCCTATAGGAAATTTTCCTATTTGGCCATTTGATTCAAAGAATTGAAGCTTTCCAAATCCTATGAAATTACTATGGAATGGTACATTGCATGTGGATTTTGGAGGAAATGTAGCAAGAGCTCTAACCTCTTGGAAAATTTCCTTTGAGTCTACCTCTCTCATCCGATTCCTGCGTTTTTCCTGCGCTCCAATCAAATAAACATTCATGTGTTTTTCCTGTGTTTTGCAATCCTCTGTTTTATACTTCAATTCCTACCAGAATCATGTATTTTTCCTATTCCTCCATTTTTTTCAACCCTGCGATTCAAAGGGGCCCTGAAGCTCTTGCTAAATTTCCTCCAAAATCTCTATAGGATTGTCTATTTCATAGGAATTTTAAAGGATTGGATATGATTCAATCCTTTATTTTAAAGGGCTCCATAGGAAATTTTTCTATAGGATCGAAATATTTTAAAATTCTTATGTTTTTCCTCCAAATCAAACGGGCCTAAAAGTTAACTGAAATGGAATCTACTGGCGGCTCGAATCGATCAGTAGAAAATTGTTACAGACAACTCTGAAACCACTCCAAGAAACCTGCTTGTACTTGTAGTTGTACTAGTTGACTAGTTGTAGTCACGGGCTGTCCTGGATGCAAGCGCACAAAGGCAAAAGAATAATTAAAAAAATCATGTAGGAGTCGTAAACAAAACTAATCTCTCAAACACACACTGATACCACACGACACGATGGAAATAGAGGTGGTTTGCGATAATTTGGATTTCGGAGAGCATCGGCATCAGCATCAATGCATCATCCTCGGCGATCATGGCCGGCCGGTGAGGGACAGCGTTGCTGCAGAGCTGCACAGCAATGGCGAAGTAGGAGCAGCCACGGGGAAGAGGACAGGCGCAAAATCCAAGTGTGCGCAGGAGGGAGGACGAACGAATCGCCGGATTCGCATGCCTCGATCAGCATCACTTCGCTGCTGCTCATGCCGTGTACTACAGCTTGGAATGAACTATGCAGACTGAACCCGATGACTTAAAAATGGCAACTAGGTGTGCTCTCCGTCTTAAAATAAGTGTTGAATTATACAGCTATATTTATTTTAGAGAAAAAAAATAATATATTAAAAAAAAGTGATTGTACCTATAAATCATGTGAATTAACATGGTACTACCTCCGTCCCAAAATAAATACAGCCGTAAATATCTGTGTCTAACGTTTGACCGTCCGTCTTATTTAAAAATTTATAAAAAAAATTAAAAACAATTAGTCACGCATAAAGTACTTTTCATATTTTTCCTCTAAAATAAAATACTAATCATAAAAAAATTTCAAATAAAATGAACAGTCAAACGATGGATATAAAACAGTGCAAAACTACACTTATTTTAGGACAGAGGGAGTAGCTACCACGTGAGCAGGATATACCCGGTGAATTACTTTATCTTATGGTACATAGGTACCCTTTGATGGAGAAATTCTATGGGTGTGTGTTTTTCTTTTTGAGAAGGGATTGATTTTATAAATTGCCATATAAATAAACATGAATTCTATGAATTACCATGTTATCGCAGTCAAACTTATGTCAGCCGCACGTCCGTACCCTATTAACACATCACAAAATATTTATTTACTTGTAAAACTATATGTCAGCCTAGATTCAATTTGAGATTTGTGCCCAATGAATCTCATTTCATCCCTCCTCCAGTTCGCAAACCTTTTCACCGCCATATCTTCTGCTACCAAGCCATACCACTCAAACCCCTCCATCTCGATGTTGTAGTACTAGGGCTAGCGACGTTTGACCAATGCGTCCTCATCTACGACTCTATTCCTTCTTTACCACTGCTACCACCACCTTATCACTTCTTCCAACGATTTACATACTCCATCCATTTCAAAATGTTTAACACCGTTACATTTTAGCATATGTTTGACCATTCGTCTTATTTAAAATTTTTTGTGAAATATGTAAAATTATATGTCTACATAAAAATATATTTAACAATAAATCAAATGATAGAAAAATAATTAATAATTACTTAAATTTTTTGAATAAGACGAACAGTCAAACATGTGATAAAAAATCAACGGTGTCAAATATTTTGAAACGGAGAGAGTATTTGATACCACCACCTTATCACTTCTTCCAACGATTTACATATCTGATAAGAAACCTTTCCCTTTCTACACTTTGGCTCCCATATAGGTAGAATCACTTTTTTAGTATATTATATTTTTTAAGGGTTAGATTTACATATTGGTACACTTACAGCTAATGTGTGTACCATGATCCTCCTGTACTTTTTTTTTGAACATTATCCTCCTGTACTCTAACCCTCTCATATTTATAGTAACTTGGAGCCTTCTCTTCCCGAATTTTTTATATCTAAACACATGCAAACAACTAATTACAAATGTAAGCACGCAACAATCACATTTAATTATTTATACAAGATGCTCATATGCAGCGATATGTTTCCATCTAACCAATAGCCCAACAAACTACTAGGCCGTATTGAGCTGCTGAATTGATCACGTACGTTAGCCCAACAACCCACCTCTAAAATTGGTTAGTTGCATCATTATGGGGAGTCAAGAAAACTAGGACAGTTTGCCATCTTGCCGTTGTCGTCAGAGTCGAACTTTGTTCGTTCTCCATCGCAGCTTCCTCTGCCGTAACCCAGCAAACAATATTTCTTGGTTTTAGATGTTGGCTTCCGTTTTGGATATTGGAACTGCATAGACGGTGAGTTTTCCCCATTGTTCAAATCTAATTCATCCGGTAGTACATCAAAATCATAGGGTTTAGGGTTGCATTTGACAAGTTTTTTTCTATTGTTCAAATCCCAAGGAGAATACAAACAACGTGGTATTATACTACTAAATTTTCAATACTAGCGATTCATATTAGTGGATCAATTGTTTGCTGCATGCTAGTTTGATTAGTCCCATGTGCTCAGAATTGATGAATTTTAGTTGCATTATGGCCACACTAACACTGTCAAAGGTTATATTAAATGGTTTATACATACACACACTGCCACTTGGCCATTGCCTACATTGGACCATATAGCACTATTTCCATATATACGATAAGTTAGATAACTTTTTCATGGGTGTCGACGTTTGATGTTGCGATTCCGGTATTTGCATGGTATGGGGATCGTCGGTACTAGGGTATACGCGAGACTGAGGTAAAAGAGATAGAGACAGGATTTTTATACAGGTTCGGGCCCCTGAATTGTCAGGTAATAACCCTACATCCTGTTGGCCAAAGCCGGTATTGCTCTTGTTCATGATAATCACACCAGTACAATATTTGGGGTAGCCTATCTAACTGTTGTCGACCTGGCGGTCTGACGATCTGACTCGTAGTCGACAACAGGGTAGCCTTCCTCCTCGAATCTGTGCCCAGCGAGATCAGAGATAGCGCTTTCGTCTCTCCTGACAGTATCCGGAGACACCGTAGGGTACCAGCCGTGCTTATCCCTGAAGTCGATATCCGGCGGCGTGTCTTGGCGTATGTAGGCTTCTATGTTGTGGCTTATATGTCGATTGTGTTGGGTGTTGATTCTCTTCTCCCCTCTCCTCCTAGGGGGGCTTGTATTTATACCCATAGGTGTCCCCTTGTCCAAGTAGAACTAGGGAAACCAATATGGATACAATCCGAGTAGTCCTTGTCGTTTCCATGTAGAACTCTGGTTGTCTTTCCTTATCCGGAACTCCTCCTATATCCGAAGGTTGCTTCCGTATAGGACATGGTATGTAGTGGGTCCTGCCGAGATTTAGTCAACTACTATTAGGTATGTGGTATCCATAACCCTGAGAATGGGGCACCATTTTACGCATATGCTTTTTTTATATATAAATTGTCTATTATATTATGCCAAAAACTTAGATTGAATTCAGCATTTATATATGTTTGGTAAATAGCTACGAGAAAGAAATAAAAAAAACTTGTATGTTCTTGATTAAAAACAAGACAGCAAAATTGCCAACCGGATAAGAAATTAGGGAGGTGTAATAGACTTATTCCTTAAACAAATAGGTAGCCCATATCGTGGACAGTTATCACCAGGCCAATCAGATTTACGGTGGTGACGTGGGCAGGTTTGCTTAGAAGTAGAATTTCAACTTTTGCGTGCTCAGAATTGTAATTAGTGGTCTGCATGTGTTCAGATAAAAAGAAATCGGCTTCTCTTTTATACCAATACAGACACACTATTCTT